AGCCAAGCCCCAGGCATACACGGCTCTGCCTGGGTGATACGGCACTACCGTGGTACTCGTGGGACTTATATGGAGACCAGAATACTAAAAGAAACACAAAAACCACCTGGGACGGAAGAACCCGAGGACCAGAATGCTGGACCTGGTGGAGAACAACCCAGGGGGAAAAGACTAAGTGGCGCGGCAAGGCGCCGGTTCCACAAGGAGAGAAGGGCTAACCCAGCCTCAAGCACTCCTTCTGGGACAAACAAGGGTGAGGGGGGGGGCGAGGGAGCGTCAAGGGGAGCAGCCGTGAAACGGCTGAAACCCGATGGCACCCCAAGCCCCCACAACAACACGCGACCTGAGAAAAGACCCAAGACTGATCTTGGCAGCTACGCTCAGGTCGCAAAGAAAATGATCAGGTGGGCTCTCGTCCCAGAGAACTACCCAGATCGAAAAATCACACCCGAATAAATCAAGGGCCTGAAGGGACTGCTTAGGTCCCAGATCCTCTCCTTGCCAGAGGGGATTAAGGCACATAAGACTTTTGAGGGGGTGTGGGAAAGGGACGGGGCAGGCATTGTCGGCTGCACCGACGAAGAAACGGGGAACTGGCTGAAAGGACTGTTCCCCGAAAACAAAATCGGGGACCTCGTCCTCGCGGTGATGCCACCGGAGGAGCTACCCAAGCGACACCGGGAGGTAGTTCACCTTGGGGACGAGGATGTCACCGCCCAGGAGGCAATCGAGCTCATGGGACGGCAGAACCCCGACCTTAAAGGTGACTGGGTCCTGATTAGAGGCAGCGAAACAAGGGGAGCGACAGGCGCCCACTTTGCTCCCCTGATCAGGGATCAAACCATGCGGGCCCTAGAGGCTTGCAATTTTAAACCTCACTGCGGGACTCAAAGAGCAACTATCAAGTTGCTCAAGAAGAACCGACATGAGGAAAAGGACAAGCCTATTGACGGGTGAACCTAGAAATGGCTCATAAGTCGGTAGAGATAGTCCAGATTAATCTGCATCACAGTAAAAGCGCCTCAGCAGTTCTCTGCAAGACGCTAGCTAGGGTGCAGACAGCCATAGCCCTAATTCAAGAACGATGGTTCGTGAACGGGGCGGTAAAGGGCCTGGGGGGGTGTGGAAAAATTTTTCACTCGAACACCCAAGGAAAGAAGATTAGGAATTGTGTGTTAGTAAAAGGCGCACAAGCAACTTTCTTACACCAACAAAGCGGAGAGGACCTCACGGCTGTGAAGCTCAAGGTCCTCACCGAGAAGAACGAGGCGCTGGTATTCATAGCGGGATCAGCATACCTGCCATATGATTCCATGGAACCTCCCCCAACAAGGGAGGTCGAAGAACTCGTCAAAAAAGTGAAGGACGAAAGGCTGGAACTTCTGCTTAGGTGCGATGCGAACTCACACCATCTGGGGTGGGGAAGCTCAAATACCAATGCTAGAGGAGAAGCCCTAAATGACTTCATTATGGAGAAAGACCTCCAAATCCTGCACAGAGGGAAAGAACCAACCTTCATGGACTGCAGAAGACATGAAGTGTTGGACATAACCATCTGCACGGCAGGCATGGCACGTTGGGTAAAAGACTGGAGGGTGTCGAAAGAACCTTCGGGCTCAGACCACAGCCAAATACGCCTGTCATTAACGTGCGAATCGGAACAGATCCCTTGGAGAAACCCAAAGGACACAAACTGTGAAAGTTACAGAGAGGAACTCTTCGTGAGGATCCAAGATGTACCCTCAAGATTCAGAAACAAGAGAGACCTGGAACATGCAGCCGAACGTCTCGGAGAAGTGATCAGGGACTCCTATGAAAACAACTGCAACATTAAAAGACCGCGGAATACAAAAATGGTGGGCTGGTGGAATAACCAACTGTCCATTTTAAGATGCCAGCTAAGGAAACCGTGGAACAAGGTAAAGACCGCGTACGCGGAAAACAGCAGGCAGAAGGCCCTCGAAGATCGCAGAGGTCTTCAGAGGAAATGCAAAAAGGCACTCGTAATAGCCAAAAACGAGGGCTGGAAGAAATTTAGCAGTGGGGTGGTGAGCCAATCTGAAGCCTCAAGGCTGGTAAAGATCCTGGGAGGACAGGGCGCCTCTAATCTGGGCTGTCTCATCAAACCGGATGGAAGCTATACCTGGACCACTGAAGAAACTCTCCAACTGCTGCTAGAAGAGCACTTCCCGGGGTTCACGAACTCGGGGGATATGGAACAAGGAACAGAAACCTGTAAAGGCACCTACAAGCCGCAGGAATGGGCCTTGGCAGCTAAGATAGTCAACCCGCAAGGGGTAGAGTGGGCCGTCAATACCTTTGAACCCCTAAAAGCACCGGGACCAG